TCTTGCCACCAAGGGCAAAATGAGCAAAAACCTTCTTGTTCTTACTCATTCCTCCAAGCCCACAGGGGAGTCGGAGTCCAGAGCAAAGGTGGCAGAGTTCCCCTCTGCTCTGAATGGAACATCCAGCATTTAGTAGTGCTTGCAAGGGACTTTGCAAATTTGACAGTGGCTCCCTGCAGGGAGTGGAATGGGGTGGGGGGTGCTCTGATACACTTCAGTTTAATACTCATTTAGCATCTATTTGCATTTTAAACCAAAGAAAAGAAAAATTGGGAGCATAACATGTTAGTTAAGAGTGCAGAATCTCGGGGCGCCTGGGTGACTCAGTCCGTTAAGCATCTGCCTTCAGCTCAGGTCATGATCCCAGCGTCCTGGGATTGAGCCCCCTCATGTCAGGCTCCCCACTCAGCAGGGAGTCTGCTTGTCCCTCTCCCTCTGCCCCTCCCCCCACCCCATCCCTGCTCATGTTCTCTCCCTCTCTCCCTCTCAGACGGACAAATAAAATCTTTAAAAAAAAAAAGAGAGTGTGCAGAATCTGGAGTCAAATTGTTCGAATTTCAATTCAGCTACTTATTAGTTTGTAGGAACCAGGCGGGTGGGTCGCTTAACCTGACTGGCCCTCAGTCATCTCTTAACCCCGGGAAAGATACCTTCTCCATCAAGTTCTCATGAGAGATCATCTGAAAAACATACCTAAACTCATTTTAACCATATTCAGGGCAGAACAACCAGGACTAAGAGCCCAGAAATGAGAACAGAGATCTTGAGAAGGAAAACAGTAGCTATCTTTAAGTGTTTGGGGGAAAAATAGGAGAACTGTTTTTCTGTGTTGCTCTAAAAGATACCTTTGAGACCAATCGGTAGAAACATTTGTGGTGGAAATGTCTTTCAATTTGCCATAAGGAAGAACTGGTTCAACTCAGACCACTTGTGAAAAGCCTCGCGTGAGCCAGGGTCGGAGGTCATGCACAACCACCTGCCAGAGAGTATAGTCAGAGCTGTCTCGCCGGGGAGTTATTCTGGGTCAGTGGTTCTGAACCCCGGCTGTTCATCAGAGGCACAAGGAGAGCTTTCCCCATGCAGGTTTCATGTCCACATGCAATCCCGATGAGTCTGGACAGGTCAGGGGCCAGAATATGTATTTTACACTTGTTTGCCAAGAGACTGATGAAAAGCCAGGCCTGGATATCTCTGGCTTATGATCTCTCTGTTGCCTTGAGTTTAAGAATCTATAATATGATATATGCTGAGTTGGGCACCCAGGTGGCTCAGTCGGTTAAGCATCTGCCTTCGGCTCAGGTCATGATCCCAGAGTCCTGGGATCGAGCCCCACATCGGGCTCCCTGCTCAGTGGGGAGCCTGCTTCTCTGCCCTTCCCCTGGCTTGCGCTCTCTCTCTCTCTCTCAAATAAATAAATAAAATCTTTTTTAAAAATGATATATGCTGAGTTGAATTTTGAAGAGGGGAGCTAGTGTAAACTAGGGCCAGAGTGTCTCTGTAGGAATGGAGAAGGGGGATAAAGGGGTTACCCCATTCCTGCAACAACCCAAGGGTGGCCAGGATCCTCAGAGACGCTGCTGCCCTCTGACAAGGGGACACGCAGGTATAGGTCAAGTTCCTACAAATCACCAGCATGTATTTTCTTTGAAAACCATCATCACAAACAATCCCTCCCCAGTAGAATCATAGAACATATTCCATTTTGAGCAGTAAGCGAGGTCTTAGACAAAACTAAAGGAAAGGGAGAGGGGAAGATGCTAGGGCTAATGAAGAGAGCAGAGGAGAGGTGCAGCCTTTCGTACTTTTTAGTTGGAAGAAGATGTTATTTCAGGCAACGAGACATTTAAGAAATGCCATTAATTGTTTGTTGCTGTCACCGATGAGAAGAAGGTGGACAGGCAGGGAATGGACCTTTTAAAATTAGCCATAGTTAAAAAGTAAGGAGGAAGAGCCTGGGTGCCTCAGTCAGTTAAGCATCCAACTCTTGATTTCAGCTCAGGTCATGGTCTCAGGGTCATGGGATCAAGCCCCACAGTGGGCTCTGCACTCAGTGGGGAGTCTGCTTGGGGTTCTCTCTCCCTCTGCCCCTCCCCCTGCCCGCGCATGCACTTGCACTCTCTCTCTCTCAAATAAATAAATATAAAAAAGTGAGGAGGAGTTCCTAGGCCTGCGGGGTGGGTGTAGCTTAGAGTATTAAATACTAGTCAATTACTGGTTACAAGTCACCTGAACTCAGTAAGCAACTCTCTGTTATAATATTGAGATATTGGCTTATTCTCAGAGCAGCATGGGCAAAGAAGGACACCTAAAGAGCTTGAGAATGCAAATGTACACCAAACATTGTGTGCGTGGCTGCATAAGTTGGTCTTCTGCATATTTTTACTATTTTTGAACTGTATATGGACCCTATTGTAATCAATAGAATACATACGTAGTCACTTAAAAAACATTACTGGACTCACAGCAGTTTTCATCCCCAAGATCTGTCCTAGTCGATGGGACCAAATACAAGGACATCTGGGCATGGGCCAACCTTCTCCTGCTTGCAGGAGCCAAAACTGAGTTCCATAGGTTAGGAGGGGCCTGTCTGTGTTCATTTTTCTCCCATACACCCTGCAAATAGCCTTCCCTGGCTTCGCCTGGAGCCAGCTCTTCAGGTGTCAGGAGATGGGAGATACAGAAAGGGGCTGGAGGAAAAAGCACAGCTGTAGCCGCCTTCCTTTGGTGGTGGGGAGGTCTGCTTCCCACCAAGTAAAAATCTTCATACATTTTTTTTTTCCAGCAAACAGCTCTCTGAGGCTACCAACATAACAGAAATAAAGTGTAATTTACTTTATTTTTAAAAAAGAAGACTGCTATTAGAAAACCAAAGAATTATCAGGAAGAGGATTGCCTGAATCCTTCATCACTTTAAAAAGTAATCGTTGATTTTCTACGATGTGTGAGGTTTGTAAACTGCCCTCCAGGAGTTTACAAGAGAGTGGGGATGCCACCAGAAAAGGGATGGAGAAGAAAGGTTATGCATGCCCAAAAGTCAGACCCAGTAACTTATTAGCTTCTATTAAATTAGATTATAGATGTACAATTTGAAAACCTTTTTCAAATGATGAAATTCGGTGCTGGCACATTGCTGAAAATGATGCACCCCCCCCACCCCCCCCCGCATGCTGGCAGCCTAAATTGATAGAGTCCTTTACCAAAGCAATTTAATGGTGCATTCAAGAACCTTAAAATGTTCAGGCCCCTTGATCCAAACACTTATGGGAATTTTATTTTGAGTAAATAAGCCAAAGGAAGTTAAAGTTATATGCAGAAATAATTTCATTGTGCACAATTTCTAATATCAAAACTTTAAAAGCAATATTGAAACTTTAGAAGCAATCAAAAGGCTTTAACAATAGAGGAATATAAAAGTAAATCATAGTGAGGCTACTCAACAAAATACTATGTAGCCTATAAAATGTCAATAATAAAGAACTATAGAAACATGACGAATGCAGAAGATAAAGCACTGAGTGAGAAAAAGCACAATTTAATAGTGTATCAATGCCATAATTATAGTGGAATAAAAATATATCACCTATATTACCTACGAATAGGGGCTGAACAGAAACATGAAAAAAATACAAACAACTTTATTTATTGTTAGGAATTTTTGTGTGAACTTACCTGTTTTTAGCCTAGAGTATGTTCACATCATGATAAAGCTCGGGACCCAAAAGAAAGTCCGAATGTGAGCACAGAAAGGATTTCCTCCTCTACTTGCATATTATGGATTCGAGAGGCCATTATCACGAATTCTCAATCTAAACATGTCCCTCTCCTCAGGTGGAGGGAGAAACTTGAACTCACAGTACAAGACACTGAGGTGGTAGAGTTTTCTCGCAAATATGGCGTGGTGTCTCCCTCCCGGTCTAGAAGGAGATAAAAAGCAGTGTCCGACACTTGTTATAACCGGGAAACCAGCCGGTCTCATGTAAGCCTCACAGAAACCCTCTGGAATGTGTTCTTTCCAAAGGAGAAAAGAGGGGCGCCTGGGTGGCTCAGTCGGTTAAGCGTCTACCTTCAGCTGAGGTCATGATCTCAGGGTCCTGGGATCGAGCCCTGTGTCAGGCTCCCCGCTCAGCAGGGAGCCTGCTTCTCTCTCTGCCTTCCCCTCCCCCTGCTTGTGCGCTCTCTCTCTCTCTCTGACAAATAAATAAATAAAATCTAAAAAACAAAAAAAAACAAAGGAGAAAAGAGACTCCTGCTTTCCATAGGCAAAAACAAATCTCAGAGAGGTGATCTGGTTTGCCCAAGATCACACAGCAAGTTGCTAGTGGGAATGATTTTCAAACTGAGTCCAAAGCCTTCTCGCTCTGCTCTCCAGACCACTTGCACGGCACCTCAGGAGAAGATGGATGTGCATCGTCTAGGATGAAGCCCAAGTCGGTGTGCACATGGGCTGTCAGCCCTCTTGGCCCTTGAGATTTTCCGCCAGTGTTCTCAATCCTGCTTGTGTATTACAGTGGTCTGGAGGTGAATTTTAAAATTTTTGGTTCCTGGACCTCACCTCCAGAGATTCTGATTTAATTGGTCTTACGTGGACCTGAGTAAGACAAGGGTGTGTTATAAAAACTCCCCAGATGATTCTTCACAGAATAAGGGCTGAGAACCACTGGTTTAGGCCCTTTGCATTTCCAGACTTTATCCTGGAAGCCTTACAACTGGCTCCACAATTTGAATGAAAAGAGCATTCCAGGGGCACCTGGATGGCTCGGTTCGTTGGGCAACTGCCTTCGGCTCAGGTCATGATCCCAGGGTCCTGGGATCGAGCCCCATATCGTGCTCCTTGCTCGGCGGGGAGCCTACTTCTCCCTCTCCCTCCCCCTGCTTGTGCTCTCTCTCCCTCTGTCAAATAAATAAATAAAAATTCTTAAAAAAAAAACAACAACATTCCATTCACTCTTTTTACTTTTTATTGCAGTAAAACACACATGACATAAAACTGACCATGTGAATCATTTTAAAGAGTTCAGTTCAATTGCATTAGGTACATTCACAGTGTTGTCCACCCATCACCTCTGTCTAGTTCCAGAACGTTTGCATCATCCCAAATGGAAACCCAATAGGCAGTGGCTCTCCATTCCGTCCTACCTCCTGGCAACCCCCAATCTGCTTTCAGTCTCTATGAATTTGCTTCTTCTGGGCATCTCCTATCCGTGGAATCGTGCACCATGTGGCCCCAGCAGGCCCCAGCTGGCTGCTTCCTTTCCGCATAATGCCTTCCCGGTTCATCCATGTTGTAATGTGTGTCAGTATCGAGTTCCTTTTCCTGGTGGAATAGTATTCCACTGTATGGACATACCACCTTCTGCCTGTCCATTCACCTGTTGATGGATATTTGGTTGTTTCCATCTTTTGGCTTCCATTCCCTTTTCTCCCCAGCTCTGAAGTCCCTTAGGGCACAGAAGACCTGGAGAGGAAGAGCTGTCTAAGTCAAGTTGCTGGAGTAGGCTTGTGGTTTTCAAAGTGTGATCTCCCAACCAGGAGCACTTAGGAACTCGCTAGACATGCAAAATCACCATCCCTGCCCCAGACCGACTGAATCGGAGTCTCTGGGGAGAGGCGGTTATAAGACTCTATGTTTTAACACGTCTCGCAGGTGACTCAGGCACAGGCTGAAGTTTGAGAACCACTGTGTTACTGACTCCGGCTGGGGTTCCGACTCAAGGCGCGTTTGCTGCCTTCGCTCAGGTCAAGCTGCCCCACAGTGCACACAAAGCACCTTGAGAGAAGCGCGGTCCAGCCCTGGGCAGCCTCCCTGGAGGTGCGGTCGTAACACCCGGTCTGTCGGGATCCAAGTTGCTGGTGTCACCGAGTTCAGCTGGTGCATGAGACGAGGTTGACACGACTCCCTTGTGTTATCACAGCTCTCTGTAATAAACAAACACATGTTGTAAGAAAATCGACTTAATTAGAGAGCTGCATCCTAGCAGTTTACATTGTTGAGTGTCTCATACACAGGGAACCGCAATCAACACGCTCACTTCAGAGAAGCTACCAGAAAACAATTGGCAAGGGATCCACAGTCCTCGGCTTTCTGCTTCTCCTTCCCGTTTGGGAGGACCCCTGCTCTACCCACCAGCCTGCTCACCTGTCCATCCCGGGGGCCAAGGGTCGCGGGAGCTCCGCACCTGTGCTCAGGCTGTTTCTCCTCCCTGTGACACCCCCCTCCTCGCCCCCCGCTCATCCGTTCCCACCCACCCCTCTTATTCAGCCCCACTTCCACCTTCTCTCCTGAAAGCCCAGGGGGGCCATGCCAGACGACAGCCATCTCTTCCCCCTGGTTTTCGGTGCCTCCATCCCTTAGTTAGTCATATTATATGGCCATCTTCTGTTTGGGGTCACTTTAAAAAAAAAATAGACACCGGGATGCTGGGTGGCTCAGTTGGTTAAGCATCTGCCTTCAGCTCAGGTCGTGATCCCGGGGTCCTGGGATCGAGTCCCGCATCAGGCTTCCTGCTCAGTGGGGGTCTGCTTCTCCCTCTCCCTCTCCCTCTGTGCTCTCTCTCTCTCTCAAATAAATAAATAAAATCTTAAAAAGAAAATAAACATGCTATATGAGCCTTGATGAGACTTTAGGGGTGAGAAAATCAAGCTCTGGGAGTGGCCTGGGAAATAAAGGGGAAAATGAAGAATGAGCTAAACTCTGTTCTGTAAGGAAGTAACTGGCATTTGAGGGTTGGAGGAACAAGTCAGCGGGGCAGACAGCAGCTCCTGAGGAAGAGCAAGCCCGTGAAGGTGATGCCAGGCTAGGGCCTTAAGGGAACATGGTCAGTAATCCTGATAAGGGACAGGACATTTGGCTTTTTCCTACTGCCTCTACTCTGCTGTGCCCCAGTTCCTCTGCTTAGACCATGCACAAAGCTAAGGCACAAAGGATAAGGGAATTGGGGCTTTGTACAGCAGAGGGTGACATGGGCAGGGAAAACAAGCTCAAGCCCCAGTGGGCTGAGCAGGAGACCAGTAGCCCTCAGAGACAGTCTCTGGAAATCCTGAGGAGCACTCGGATCGCACAGAAGGGCAGAACGGAACTCTGCCGATTACTCCACTTCACAAGAAGAGGATGAGCCCAGAAGGCTGGACCACTGAGGATCCTGCTTGTTTTACAATTATGATCACACAATGTCTACCATGCAGAAATGGCACAAATGCTATATTTGGCCTTTCTGGATCATTCTGCTGTGATGGTGGTTGAGATAGGGGGGCTTTAGGAGTGCTTCCTGCCAGATAGTTTAGAGGGCCAATATTTTAGGCAAAAATCAATAAAAGGGATGTGCATTGAGTATCCTATGGGTGCCATATATTCATTTTTTTGAAATAGCCAAAACAGGAACTTCACTGCCTTGACACTTTTTCAGACTAAAATTATTGCAGCCATGATACACAGAGAATTTTGGGTCCTTCATCATCCATATGTCCGTGCATTCAAGTGGACTGAAGATCCCTTTCTTTTTTTTAGATTTATTTATTTTAGAAAGAGAGGGAGCGAGCGCGTGCATGGGGGCAGGGGCAGAGGGAGAGAAGCAGACTCCCCACTGAGTGCAGAGCCCCACATGGGGCTCAATCCCACCACCCTGAGATCAGAACCTGAGCCGAAACCGAGAGTCAGATGCTCAACCGAGTGAGCGCCCCTGAAGATCCCTTCCTAAGGTGGATCTTGGACCTATTCCCCTGTTGCTCTCCCCTTTTCTGAGCCAAGGTCATGAATACTTCAGTTCAAGCCCTTCGATAATCTGTTATTTTTATCCCATCTTGGCCAACAGAGAAACCACACCACACCGTACTAACTGAACCCTCAGAATGTCTGCTCCTCAGGAACTTCTCAAGATGTAGACATTCTCTTGAACTCACTGCTGCCCAGGATCTGTCAAAGGCTCAGCTGACAAGGACCGTTACAAGGATGTTGAGTCCAACCAGTTTTCCAGAGCGAGAGGGGCAGTGTCAAGGGCCCTGGAGCCTGCCTGCCTAGGTGTGAAGCCTGGCTAGAGATCATGAGCTCTGCGACCCTGGGGAGGGCTCTTAACATTTTCTATGGGCCTCGGTTTACCCATCTGCAAATTAGGGCTATCGGAGTACCAATCTCACATGGTTGCAGTGAGACTTAAGTGAGGTGATCCATGCAGAGAGCTCAACACCCTCCTGGCACTTAGTAGTGCTCGGTGAGCATTAGCCATTGCTGCCCCTGGTTAAGCCACTACCGCGTCATTCTCTGCCTGGGAATGAAAATTCATCATCATTATCATCCGCTGAGCCACTGAGCACCTTCTGTAGGCCAGGCCAGTGCTAGGAGCTTTACGTGAAGTGTCACTGACGTTTGCCACCAGGGATACGTGATCGCCAATCTCAACGATTTACAAACGATCCATAAAGATAAAGAAACCCCGGGGCAGGAGGATGGTGGGATCCATCCAGGTCCCTGGGGAGGGGAATGGGATGGGCTGGGAATCCGGCCACATCATCACACAGCCCTGATTGATGTTCTTTCCTAGAAGGTTAGGCATTTCTGTGTACTGTCACAAGTCCTTGAGGGAACGAGTTGTGGGATAAATAAATGAATCACATTTTATTTTTTTTTTAAAGATTTTATTTATTTATTTAATTGACAGAGAGAGAGAGACAATGAGAGAGGGAACACAAGCAGGGGGAGTGGGAGAGGGAGAAGCAGGCTTCCTGTTGAGCAGGGAGCCCAATGCGGGGCTCGATCCCAGGACCCTGGGATCATGACCTGAGCCGAAGGCAGATGCTTAGCAACTGAGCCACCCAGGCGTCCCAAAAGAAGCACATTTTAAATGATGCCTTCTCTTGCTAGTTCCTTTATTTAACCAGTGGGACTAGGAGTGTGGTGTCTGATGCTTCCAAGTCCCCTGAGGGACCCAGGACACCCTGACTAATAGCCCTGGTGAAAATGAAGATCAGGAAGCAGCAAAAGCACAAGCCAGTGGGGCCCCTGGTGCCAGGGACATGATTTGTTGATGACGAGGGCCTCGGAAGCAATACCAGGACTGATGGTGTCTGCGTTCTCGGCCTTGCCACTACTTGCTCCAGCCTGGTGATGTCTTCAGCTTACTTCCCACGGGAAGTGCGGGATTGGGAGATGTTCCCACACGTCCCTGGAGGCGGCAGCATGACATAGCAGATAAGAACCAGGCTCTGGCGTCTCTGGCCTTCTGGCTGTGCCTCAGTCTCCTTGTCTATAAAATGGGTATGCTAAGAATACTAAAGCCCCCTCATGGGGAGGTAATGCAGTCTCCTGGTTAAGACCACAGAGCCCAACTGTCTTCGAATCCAGGCTCTGACACGAGCTGAAGGACCCTGAGCAAGTTTTTTAACCTTTCTGAGTCTAGGTCTTCATCTATAGAATAAGGATGCTGGTAGCTACTCCTTCCGAAGAGAAATAACATAAATTAATATATAATCGTATGATTTCAACTATGCGTGGCACGTGGTAAACACCATATTAACAGTCGGCTGTTCCCATTGCTATTATTATACATGTGAAGTGCTTAGAGTGGCCGGCAATGGCCGCTAGCTGTCATCCCTCCCTGATTATGAAGACAGCAGCAAGCAGCACTCGGAAACTTCGGTCTCCCCCAGTGTGGGCAAGGGCAGGAATTAGTGAGCAGCTCTTTGTGTGGGAAACTTGAGTATGAATCCTCCCAAGCCCTCTGGCCTTGACAAAAAAAGGAGGGAAGGCTGGAAGGAGGGAAGAGGGTGAGGACGAACCATCTTAGATGCACCTGGTGGAGGCTTTCTCAAGGCAGAGAGAGCCTCGACCTTTGAATTTCCAAACTAAATAAACCCATGAGCTCAACTCTTCAGCAGTCTGTCAACAAATGAGCTCCATAGCCTGAAGAGGGAGAATGTGTTTCTTATGTAAATCCACATGAACAAATAGAACACATTCTTCTTCCTTTTCCAAATAACCCAGCCTGGGAACAAGAAGTCAACATCTGGTTAAGCAGGGGTGAGGTTGCGGCGCAGGTGGAGTCCATAGGGGGCTTCCCACCACCTGCTCCTCACAGCTCCCGTTCTCCTCTCTGCACTCCCAAATCATTTTCTCTTATTGTCATACCTCCGGGCACTGAAAGCTACCTTGGCAAATTAGAGATGAGGTCAGAAATAGACACAAGGATGTTACTGAGAAGAATTTCTAAGGAGAGAAAAGCATCTATGGAAACAGAAGCTGGAGTAGAGCAAAAAAGAGAGTTTTAAGACTCCAGGTAAATAAACACAAGCATGATAGAGAAAAACATAGGAGAATAGGATCCAAGAATCAGGATGTATTATTATGTTTATTACTGAACCTTTTTAAAAATGGTCACTGTGCACCAAGCCTACGTGCATCCTCTCATTTGATCTTTGAAGATGGATGCTATGACCCTCATCACTTTTTAGATGGGGAAACTGAGCTTTAGAGAGGCTTGGAGATTTACCTGCTCATCACTGTGCCCTGTGTGAGTGAGGAAAGATTGGAGAAGATTCACAAACGATCATAAAGATAAAGAGGAATCTGAAATTCACAGCTTTTATCAAGAGGCTAGAAATCCTAGAATTGTTTAGCGTAGTGAAAAGAGGACCCGGGAGCGTGTGTTGAGGGGGGGACAACTTTGTAATGACATTCATTGCCCCCTTTCCTTTTTCCTAATGGGTCCCTGAGGGTCCCTGGGTCGTTGGGGGGGGGGGGGGGGAGGGAGCTCGCCACACCCTCAGTTCCAGGAGAGGGCGCTAATGTGCTCAAGCCAGTCAGCACTGACCATCTCCCACACACGCTCCCCGGCAGTGAGTGCTGTGGGAGCGGGTGTAAGACCCACTTTGAGCCAGTGAGATATGAGCTATGTTTCCTGGGGTCTTCTAAGAAAAAAAATTTATTCCCTTTTATGGAAGCCCCCCCACCCCAAATAATAACCATATCCACCTGGGTTGAATAAGGAGTGGGTGCCTTCAAATATCCATTCTCCCTTTCTTCTTGGTTATAAGAACAATTCAATTTCTGACTAGGCACACGGGTCCAGCAAAAGATTCTGTTTCCCAGTCTTGCCACTGCCCTATGTGACTGTGATCCAGCCAATGAAATATAAACAAAAGTGTTGTGTGGTACTTCCGGTGAGTCTCCTTACAAGTGAGGGGGCGAGACTTCTTCATGTTACTTCCTCTTGCCTAGAATTCAGAGGTAATGGTGAGAGTTCCGGCACTCATTCTGGACCTTGAGGTGACCTTGAGAAAGGGAACCACGCCCTAAGATGTGGAATTTCAAGTTAGACATCTGGGCCCATGACATGATGGAGCCACCATTCCAGCCCTGGATTGCCTGCCTCTGGAGTTCTCTTACACGGGGGAGAAATATACATCTATCTTGTTATAACCACTGTAATAGTGGATTTTCCATCACATAGAGTAAACTCAATTCTAATAGATGGACCTAGACTTCTGCTGACAAACATCTTATAGCTACAAAGGAAGGCAGACTTGGAATAAAGCTGATACCATGGCAGCAGAGCAGAAACAAAAGAAACCAGATCTTTCACTATATAATGGAGCTGCTGGATCAAGCTTCTCCTGAATCTGACATTTATCATGGGACATTGCAGTTACATGAACAAATACAATTGCTTTATTTTTAAAGCTTATTTAAATTGAGGGTTTTGCTGCTTGCAACCAAAAGCATCTTAGTAGCTATATTATTTACCAAAACTCTTAAGGAGGTAATACATTAGTATTTCATTTCCAAAGGAAGCAATACAAGCAGAAGTGTATTTAAAGTGCATCTGGGCTTTCCTTACAGTGAACTCATTAAACACATGGAATAAGGCCTGGATGATTTTTTTAAATCACCTAACATTTATTGAGCCCCTGCTATGAGCCAGGTATTTGATGTAAATTATTCTTCATCCCTGCGATGGTACTGAATGGAAGAAATTATTATTCTGGCTTTGCAAATGGTGAAATAAAGGCCCAGAGATTTAAGTAAGTTGCCCAAGGTCATGTAACTAACAAGGACACAGCTGAGACTGGGAGCCATGCCTGTGGAGATTCCACACCCACGAACTTTGCACCACACTGAGCCCCAGCTGCAGACACCACATGTCCTCATTAACGTTCTGCAGCTCCTGTTTTTAATCTTTGCCTTTGGGAACCTCGCAGCTTGGTCAATTTTGAAGAAGACTTGTATCAGACCACGAAGAGGGGCCTGCAGTTGGGTGACCCAGCATATCTTCCTGGTCAGAGATACAACCATCCCCTCTCTTTCTTGCCTTACCTTGCCCTCTCTCAGTCTCTGGCTTTCTCCGAGGAATGGCACATGTGGACACTTGGACTCTTTCTTCCTCTTTGGGACTGGACCAATTTTAAAGAGCATCTGTCCTGGATATTGGGTCCAGCTCGTTGTCTGCCTTAACAAATTACTCTGTCTCCCTAGGGTTTGTTCCACAAGTCTGCTAAACGTTGGAATCTCCTTTTCGTTTAAGATTTAGAGTTGAACATTATGCTCCAAGATGGCGCTGGCACCGTGAATTAATGCTGATACAGTGCGTCCAGACTGAGCCCACTCAACATCCAGTCCACACTGGGTTTTCGGGCCCTGTTTTGTTCTGTTGGTTTGTGTGCCTATGAATGACTACACTGAAGAGTTCTGGATAATACTGACTGAAGTTAGAGCATGTCCTGTTCATTTGCTGACATTGTGCAATTCAGCATAATAAGCAAACGCCGACTCCAAATGTGAAGTCGTGTGAGGTGTTCTACCTGCGACTCTGTACTAGCAGAAATGATCCCCTTCGGTTAAGTATTTTCAAATAATTCAACATTTTTAAAAAGGCCGTACGTATAAATAGAATAAAATTTCTTTCCCTTGGCCCAACTGCCATGCTTCTGCCTTGGATAAGTCACTGTGAAACGTCAGTGAGGTCACATCAGTCAAAGGAGCCTGTACGGGAATATATAAATCTCAGCCACTGACATTTCTTAGAATGCTAATAACATTTTGTCCGCCCAGACAAGTCAGAGTCTCAAGCTCTTCTATACATAAAGCCACCAAAGTATAATTTATCATGGAACTCTCAGCACATAAAATAATATCCAAGCAAGTTTCCCAAATATACTGATTCTCTGGAGTGTTTCCCAACCCCACGAGAGTTTCACTATTAGCCAATAAAAGAAGCAATGGGGATCCTTCTGTATCCAGGAAATAGGTACTTCCCAATAAGCAACTTAAAAGCATGAAATTCTGTCTTAAATATATTTTATATGCTCATACAACATCTAATAGAGCACTGTTAAAATAGTGTACATTCAAGAGCACGAGCAGACAACCCACAGACTGGGAGAAAATACTTGTGAAAGACATATCCGATAAAAGACTGTTAACCAAAATATACAAAGATCTCCTAAAATTCAACAATAAGAAATCAAACAACCCAATTTTTTAAATGGGCAAAAGATAGGAATAGACCTCTCACAGAAGAAGTTATACAGATGGCAAATAAGCACAAAGATTCTCAACATCTCTGTCTTGAGGGACTTGCAAACTAAAACAAAAATGAGAAACGACTACATACCTATTAGAATCACCAAAATCCAGAACATGGATCCTGGTGAGGATGTGGAGAAACAGCAACTCTCATTCATTGCTGATGGGAAAGCAAAATGGGACAGCCACCCTGGAAGACAGGATGGCACTTGCTTACAAAATGAAATACACTCTCTCCATATATCCAGCAATCATGCTCCTTGGTGTTTCCCCAAGTGAATTAAAAACTCATCTCTACAGAAACCTGCACATGGATGCTTATAACAGCTTTATTCACAATTGCCAAAACTTGGAAGCAACCAAAATGTCCTTTAGTAGATGAATGGATAAATAAGAAACTGTGGTACATCCTGACAATGGAGGATTATTTGGCGCTAAAAAGAAATGAGTTATTAAGATACAAAAGGACATGGAAGAACCCTAAATGCTTATTACTTTAGTAAGGTGTATTTAAAGAAGTCAATCAGAAAAGGCTACATACCATAGGATCCCAACTCTGTGACATTGTGGAAAAGTAAAAAGATTTGTGGTCACCAGGGTTGGGGAGAGGGAGGGATAAATAGGCGGAGCACAGAGGATTTTTAGGCGAATGAAATGTATGGTGGATACATTTCATTATATCTTCCTCCAAACCCAGAGAATGCACACCAGCAAGAGTGAGCCATAATGTAAACTATGGACTTTGGATGATAATAAGGCGTCAGCGTAGGTCCATGGATTATAACAAATGTACCACTCTGGTCCGGGATGTTGGCAGAGGGACAGACTGTGCATTTGTGGGGACAAGGGGTAGCTGGAAATGCTGTACTTTCTACAACTAAATTTTCTATGACCCTAAAACTGCTTTAGAAAATAAAGCCGGTTTTGCCAGGTAATGCAAAGGCTCGACCCAAGCCAACTCCCAACTAGAGATGCCACTGTATGCCTCCATTATCCTGGAGGGAGGTAGCGCAGTCTGAAAAGCAGAAAGTAATGCATTTCCACTGGACACAGTCATGGAAATAGACCAAAGAAGTTTCTGTAACCCTGGAAACAAAGCCAGACATATCATTTCAGTTCTAAAGGGTAGATTCTAAACACCCCTGATGCTCCCCGATGCCACTGTTAATGCCACACACGTTGTCCTCATATGACACACGCCGATCGCAGGAGGGGTGGCCGGAGAGTCCGGGCGAAAAGATCAGCACCTCTGGTCTGAAATTAAAGAAATAAGTGTGGGAGAGTGTAAAATGCAAATTCTTTCTCTTCCAAAGCTAAGAAAGCTACTTCGTTGCCGGGCAGAAAGCCTCTTTACAACTACTGTCAGCTAAAAGACTAAAAGAAAACAACCCCATAGGGAACATCATTTTCCCGTGCCTCACCAGTTCTGAGGAAGTTCATGAACATCCACATGAAAGTGAACTCAAATAGCTCACACGTCCGGGTATGCACTGAACTTTGGAGGTTCCTATTTTAAATGAAAATAAGCGTATAGCACAGCCCCTTATGTGAAGCTCTACCAAGACTCAGACTTAACAATTATGGCTTCTTTGAAAGGACCTTGAAAGGCATTTGGTCCAACCTGCCATCCAATGCAAGAATCTCTTCTGAGACATTTGCTGCCTCGTGCTCGCTTCGGCAGCACATATACTAAAATTGAAACGTTTGCTGCCTCTGCTTAGAGAGAGAGAATTTCTTGTGCCCTAAAATTCCCCATTTCACTATTAGGACATTTTTTTGCTTCTCAGTACCAAAACCTGCCCCCCCCACGTGACTTCTAACCATTGGGCTCTGCCTTCCTTCTAGAACCAGAGAATGAGAATGATCCTTCTTCCTGGCTCCAGCCCTTAGCGGCTGTGTGACCTGCAGCAAGTTACTGAATTGCTGAAATGTTAGCACCATGCCCGGCATATGATTAGCACCCCATAATTATTAGCTGTTAATATAATTCGCTATTAGATACAATGACCCCTCCCATAAACATGGCATGGGGATTCCATTATTAGGCGTGCAAGGAGCAGAGATATTCTCAGATTCCTTTAAATCAGGGACTGTCAACCTTCCTGTGGATTTGGGGGCTATACCCTTGAAGGGTTTAAATGGCATCCTCAGTTATCTTGGGATTCACCTGAATCAGCACTGTTTGGGTGTGGCTCTTCTTCCCTGATGGATTCTCAGCAGGTCAAGTTCTCACGTGTCCTCATGTCTTTGGCACCAGCTTGAGGTCAGGGTCCACCTTTGACCCCTGACCTCTGACCAGCAGCAGGCTGGACTCTGGCTGTATGCACATGACGTGGTGTTCAGTTCAGCAATCTCAATTTCTGGAATTGCCTAGCAACAGAGACATTAAAAAAAAAAAAAGTTTTATATCTTGCCAAAATTTGGCAGCACACTTTGGTAGAGTTTGAGACAATGCAGTAAACCACCACATATCAAGTGAGAAGTGCTGTCTTAAGCAACGAGATTTATTTGGAGGCCACCCTGGGAAATAGAGGAGTCCAGAATCTCCACCTCAAAGCCAGGCTTCATGGAGACTCGCGCTCAATCCGGGAGCTGGAAGGTTGCTTAGGATACAGCGCGGCTCTAACAACTGGGTTATAACAGTAAATAAAATTGCCATCTGTTGAGCTCTTAATATGGGCCAGGCGCTGTGCCAAGCATTTTACAAGTGTTAGCTATCTTTTTTTTTTTTAAACCTGTTTAAATTGTGAAATAAAATACTCTTAGATTAAAGTGTTCAAAACAAATGTACAGCATAATGAACAATCACAAAGCAAACACTAGGATAACGACCTCCTCGGTCAAGAAATAGAATACCTTCAAGCACTGCAGGACCTCCTCTGCCCCAAGTATCCCTGTCTATCCCAGAACCCTCCCCTCCCCAGAAGCAACCAGCCTTCCAACTTTTGTGATCATCGCTTCCTTACTTTTCTTGATAATTTGCTCAACAATATATGCTCTACAACATAAACTCCATTATATAGAGTTTAGTGTTACCAATTCTTAAAGTAAAATTGTATAGTACGTATTATTTCTTTTGTTCAATATTGTGTTTGTAAAACTCATTCATGTTGTTCCCCACAGCATAGTTCATTCATTTTTTTTGGTGCTGTATAGTACTCCATCGTGTGAATGTATCACAATCTATGTATTCACTCTACAGTTGATGGATCTTTGTGTTGTTTCTAGCATGAGGCGATGAACAAAGTTACAGACAAGCTTGTATATGCATTCCAGTGTACATGAGAAGTTCTTCTTAGAGGTGTATATCCAAGAATAGAATTACTGGGTTGTGCAATGTGCCTGCCTTCAGGTTACTAGATAATGCTAAAGTGTTTTCCAAAATGCTTATACTCATCACATTCCCACCAGCAGCATTGAGATTCCTGGTTCTCCACATGCTCTTCAACACTTGGTATTAATAGATTTTTCAAATTTTGCCAATCTGATATGCATGTGTAGTATTTAATTATAGTTTTAATGGTAGTTTAAAACTTTAAATACATTGACTCCTACTTCATACATTCATCTCGATCTCACTACTTTCACTCAACACTGCGTTTATAGGATTCATCTGTGTTGTTGCGTATGGAACCTCACTGTATCTCCCTCATTAATGAGGTTGATCTTATTTCCATATATTTTTGAGCTATGCTCTATCCTCTTTCGGTAAATGCTCGTTCAAGTCTTTTGCTTGTTTGTCCATGGGGTTGGCTGGGTTTTTTTCTTATTGATTTGTAGATTTTTCCCAGTTCGATTCTAGATACTGGTTCTCTAGTAGTCTTACGTGTTGCAAATAATTTCTTTGACTCTCTCATGTGCCTCTTTAATCCTCATGAGCTGAAGAAAAAGATATTGTGGCATCTGTTTCATGGTTGAGGAGACAGAACAGAGCCTTCAAGAAGGTCACTGCCTTGTTCTGGGTCCCCTCCCCACCCAATCAGCCTCACAGCTGGGCAAGCAAGCCTGGCTCTGTCCCCTAGCCACGTGCAGGGGGGACCCGTCAGTCCTCTCCCATGCTCTGCGGTCCTTCCGCTCCTTCCGCCCCAGCTCCGCTCTTCACTTCTTCTTCCTTGCTGATGACTCCCACTTTCTGCCCTCTCCTCGTGTGACCTTTCTCATGTCCCTAGTTCCAGATGTTGTCACTCCCCGAAGGAGGTCGTCAGCTCCATCTGGCACCGTCCCCGTCAAGGACGGGCTTCACACCAGACCGCATCACAGCCGGGGCTCCAGCACTCTCCCAGTCCACCTGTGGCCAGTGTGGCGGAGTCCCAGGGCCAGCCTGCATCGGGTGGAGCCGTGGGCATAGGGGAAACTCAGCAGAGAGACTGCTCTGCCAAGCCTCTGTCTCCTCCCGATCTTCACGTTTCTGGCTAATCCTCGCCTGCTATTTTCACACCATCCTAATGACAACTCCCAGTCAGTCTGTCCAACACGCCTGAGCGTCTTCCAGGATGCCACGCTCCCTACCCAAGCCCAGCCAAGCCTCAGTTCCCATCAATTCCTATCAAGCCCTATCCGGTCTAAGTCTCTCCTAAGTCTACCCACTCTCTCCAGGGTACACCCATTGGGCCTCCACCCTAGTCCAGGTTCCGCCCCAGGGCAGACTACCACCACTCCCACCTGGAAGCCAAAAGCTACCTCATGTTCTCTTCACTTCCAGTCTCTCCTCTTCCTAATCTGTTCTCCACTCAGCAGCCAGGGGAATCTATTCAAAATGCCGGTCCGATCATGTCAGATTGTTCAAAACTTTCAATTGGCTTCCATTTCTCTTGGCATAAAAACCAAAACCCACAAGATGAACCCCAAGGCCCTGCAAGGTTTAGCCCTTGCCTCCTCTTCACTCTTCCCCTTGCTCCCTGCTCTTTGCTCCCCTGGGAATCCTTCCGGTCCTATTGACAGGCCAGGCACGCTCTCACCACAGGGCCTTTGCACTTGCAGTGTGAGCTGCCCGGCATGCTGTGGTCACCTACTACCACACCCCGCCTGGTTAATTTCAGGCCTCAGCAGTTGTGGCCTCTCTGACATGCACAGGTGACCTGCACATCCCTGCATACCCGTTACCTCGGTTGTAGGCCGAACATGGTTCGTGCAAACAATATAGGATTGTCTCCCGCCTGTCAGACAGGCAAAGATTATGATTATTGATAAAATCCTGTGTTGAGGCTGCAAGAAAACATGCACTCCGATTTGACTCCACCTGAATGGTAGGAAGTATGGCACCAGCTGTCATTTAAATGTTTCAGACCCTTTGCCCCAACATTTCCACCTCCAGGAATGTATCCTTTAGAAAGAAATACTCCCACCAGTTTATTGGAAAGGTCATGCTGAACAAGTTCTGTGGTATCATTGTTTGTAATAGTGAAAAGTAGAAACAGTACACATATCAATAAGACACTAAACTGTGGTACATTCATAAAATGGAGTATGACTCAGCCGTTTAAAAGAACAGGGTAGATCTCTTTGTATTCATGTGGAAGGATGTCTAAGATACATCAAGCTAAAAAAAATTAAAAAGACTATGGTTCTATTTTTATGTTTTTAAAATATAAGACAGCTGTAGTTTTAAAAGTTGAAGAAAATGCACAAACCTATTGACGGTGGCTATCTCTGGGGAAGCAAG